AGGGAGGGAGGGAGGGAGGGGAAGGAAGCAAAAATATCAGCCTTGGGAAAGAAACGTCCCAGCAAGATTAAGACTAAGCCCCTGGACTCCACATGAATTCCAAAAACCTGATCACAGGCTTGCAGCAGGTAAGACACAAGCCACGTGGGTCAGAACGTTCTAGATGAGGCCTGTTAACATACTGAGCTGGTAGAAACTTAAAAGCACACACTCTTTATGGAGTTAACAACTCCCCTAACTCATTTTCAATTCCCCCTTCTCCTCCCTTTTCTTCAAGGGCAGGCAGACCATGCATTTCTTTCCCTGGGTGATACAGCCAAATGAAGCCCACAGGAAGGACCCACCAGGTGGTCAGCTGGCCCCTGATCCCCGGCAGCCAGGTTCCGGGAAGAGCAGGTTAAAGTGCTGAGTAGTCTTTCCTGGTTATTTCTGAATTCTCACCCGCCAGCACCAGTACTCTCAAGAATTCACCTGGCTCTAGGTCCAGACGGGATCTATGCCATCCCTAACATACACACCCACTGGCTCAGCAGAAGCAGCCCCAAATAGTCCTGTTCTCTATAACTTTGAAAAGAATTCCCTGTGCAGCCACTCATGGAAACAGAAAGCCAAAAGAAATCTGTGAGGCAGGCAAAAAAAAAAATGCATTTGATTAGAGTTTCAAAAAAAAACCAAATACAATAATAGGGCTGAGGCATTGAAAGTTTTCTTAATGAGGGTTACGTACTCGCTTCATCCTCGGCGCTCTCTCCCCTTTTGTGCCGTCTTTGAATTTTCTCCTCATGCCACCCCCTCCCTTTCTCCTTGGAAAGGGCAACTCACTAGTAACACTAGAAATGAGACGTCTTTCCAACAAATCTGACTCCTGTGTTCGAACCTGGCCATATAAACAGTGGCCTTGGAGTCTGGTCTTATTGACACATATCTCAGTCTCTTGGTAACACTGGACTCCAGTTGCCACTACTGTGTGTATAAACCAGTGCCCACTTGGCCTGGTGCATCTTTGGAACCAAGATGAACACACTGACAAGGAGAAGGTGCAAGTTCCCTCATGGGGGGTTGTAGAGGTAAGCAACAGCCTGTGCTGCCGTCCCAAGAGCTATGGGGCTGGACTTTGAAAATCGCACGCCTTTGGGTTCTCCAGACCTTCTTTCCTATGATCAGATTTTTAAAAAATGCAACAAGGCCATGGCCTTTAGCTTTCAACCTTAGCCAGGCTGAAGCAACAGTGAGATCCCTACTGACGGCAGGCAGCACTCTTTTAGCCCCTCCACAAACCACCTGAATCCCCAATCTCTCCTGTCTGGTGTTCAATCCTCCATCCTAACTTGCAATTCTGGGGGGGGCAATAGTTTAATGACTCTTGCTGATTGTGCTTCGATAGCAACAGACACCAAGATAAAATGACAAATGATATGACAGAAAGCTCCTCTCCTTGATGACTTTGAGCAATAGAAGAAGGAGGAATTTTAGGAACTTGATGTCACAACATCAAAGGGTATTTCACACGACAAGAGAGGCACTTAAAGACTACGCAACAAAAACTAAAAAGACTTGAAATATTAATGCTCAGGAAGTGAAGAACCATCTTGGCATCCTAGGAGTTTACCCTCCCAAGCTGCAGATCCTAAATAACTTCATTACGTACAACCTCTCTTAGAAAGAGCATAGCATGTAATCTATACCCAGTACTTACAAATCAATTACGAGGACAGAATAAAATTAAACTCTGAAAGTATCAAGAAAGTTGCCCCCTTGAAAAGTATTGATAATAACCTTTTAATAGTGATTCAAAGAGCCACTCTTAAGAAAGGGAACTGGATAAGCGCCCCCC